GGGGTAGGGGCGGGCCTGTTTTTCGGGTGGTTGTGTGTCTGGCTTCCTGCACGTCAGGTGTCGGAGCCTAACTGGCGTGCACCCCGTGCAAATTCTCTAGCCCCACCCTCACTGATCAGAAACCCTCCTGGTGGGTCCGGCGAGCTTGTCCAGCCTGCGCCCTCCAGGTGATTTTCATGCTGCTTAATTTAAGAATCACTGATCTAAAACACTAAGCTTTGAGGAGTTTGAACTGGGGGTGGGGAGGGTCCAGATGTCCTGGATGCAAACGCATGTTTCTATGTAAGCTTTACAACACTATGAAGGTAGGTCCTGCCATCCTCATTTAACGTTTTGAGGCACTGGAGGCAGAGAAATTTAACTTTTCCAAAGACAAGACTCCTGTCTCCTCTAGCGAAGATGCCGTGTGCATCTGAACTCATTTCTCTTGACCCGAGGGGACACATGGACACGTTCTCCTTAGGAAACTCCACAAGTTGAGGGCCTTTGACTACCACGCACTGCGTCCCCACCCTGTAACAGGCACAGAGCAGGTGGGAAAGGGCTTCGTGTGCTGACTCCGCTGGGCCTCTGACCTGTTTTAGAGGATCTGGGACACGTCCTCACAACGGGTTCCCCTGGTACTGTACCCACGCTGTGACATGTGCTCTGCCACTCTCCTCCCCACTCCTGACTTTTGCTGTCAGGGCGGTCCCACCCTTGTACCATGTGGGGTGAGGACGCTGGGTTCTGAGTGGCCACCACCAGGCTGCCTTTCACAGAGGGGGGCCCCCTGCCCCCTACAGGCGGTGTGGGGGTGCTGCTCTCTCCCTAGGCCTTTGGGCCCCCTGATGGGGACACCGGCCTTTCCCTGCTGAGTTTCAACAATCTCACCAGGTAAGAGACAATGAAATAGCTGTCTCGGAGCAGAAGGCTGCCATCAGATCTGGTTCCTGTGGACTGGTTCTTGCTTGAGGACTGGGTCGTCACCCCATGGGAACTCATCTGTCCTCAGGTGGGGAGCCCTGCATTATCACAGAGTTGTTGTCAGTATGCCGTTAGACTCAGATTTGATTTTCTTGGGACGTGTCCTCTCTTTCTGCAGTGAGGGTGCCCTTCATTTAGCTGGGCTGCTGGCACCTACCTCCTGGTCCCATACTGGTTTCTGGACATATTTGGAAACTCATTTGTACCCTGCCTGAATGTCCCCGCCATGAGAGAGTCATCCAGAGGCCACCCTCCCTGGGAGGAGGGAACAATCTGCAAGGTTTGTGTGTCTCCAGTAGACTGGTTCTTGGAAAACACTTTGGTCTCTCTCTAACTGGTCATCCTCTCTGACCAGCTGGTTCCTTCAGCTGGTGAGCCTGCCTTTTACCTGGTCATGCTGTGACCATGGGTGCTGGGTGAGTTTTCTTGCTCTTCCTCCGGCTCCTACTTTCTCAGCACTGTTTGACTTGTCCACTCCTTCCTGCTTACACACAGATCACGGGTGTGTCTTTTTTGTGAAGTGACATGGATGTGATCAAATTAACAAAAGACCTGGTTGTGCAGTCATACCTGTCTTCCTGAAGTCAGTAAAGTTTCTGTAATAAGTTATATTTCATCCCTTTTTACTTTAATGAATGACTGATTTTATACATTTTGTACTTTAACTTTTCTCCTTTGATAACATAATGAACTCATAATGAACCCTTTCTGAATTCAGCTCATAAGGTGATAATTAGACTGTATTTACTACCATTAGATGCTGAAGTTGTCACTGACAGTGGTGGTCTGTTTGCATTTTGTTCCTTTGTCATTTTAGCCCCTCCTCTGATACCCTTGAAAGCATCTTATTTTCTGGCAACCAGAGAATGTCTAGAACCACCTTGATTTTTCTCCTGCCCCAAGTTATGGGACTCATTGTCTTCCAAGAGTCCTGGTTTCTGACTGTTAAAGACCAAAATCTGAGTGTCAAGGGTACGTGGGGACACCCCCATCCCCCGGGTGTTGCTTTGGACCGTTGCTCTGGACTAGTTTTAGAAGTGTCAGAGCCAGAAAATACATCCTTTTGAAGGTTAGAGTTCACATTGAATCTTAGCAGTTTGTTGCTGTGTACCCAACTCCAGTACATAGTGTCATGGCAGCTAAGGCTTCTCTCCCACACTGGCAGTCCCACCCCCGGAGAAGAACAGGTGAGCTGTTTTAGGAATCACACAAATAGCCTTTATTCTAGAATCCTGGGTTCTAACTTTGTAAAGGATGGTGGAGTGTTTTATGGGCTTTTGCACGCAGGGAGTGGTTAGAGTTATGCTGGACTTGGCAGGAAGGGGGCAGCCCCGGTACAGCCATTTTTGGAAATACGAACAGGGCACTGTTCTGAACCAGCAGCCCTTCGGGCAGTTGGACTTAATCAGAAGGTATGAAAAGAGCAGGGGTCTAAAGCCACTAATAGGAGGGAGCAAGGGGAATAGCAGCAGGGACAAGTGTTGGGGAGGTTCGGGCCTGGGGACTACCCCGTGCCATTGGGGATTCTGGCACAGCAGCGTCTAGGGGGACCACTGGGCCTCTTGCAGGTAACTGCTGGCCTTGGCAAGCCCAGTTGTGGAGATGGCTGTGCACAGAGGAGTTGGTGAGGACACAGAGAGACGGTGGGGATGCAACTCTGTAATTATGTCCTGAAAGGGAGGAGAGAAATGGGATGAAAGCTAGAGCAGCTCAGGGGACTTCTGTTGGAGGCCAACCCTGGGCGAGTCCCTGGTGTCAGATGGCCCCACAGAGGTAGATGGGAAAAAAGGAGGAGGTAGGAGAGAGGGGACCCTTGTGAGTGCAAGTCCTTGAGACCGCTGGGATGAGCCCAGGGTGAGAGTTTGGCTCTCCTGGTCTTCTTTACTCTGCTTTCTCCTCTGTGTAATGGGGCACTAATAGGCCTTCCTGGGGTTTCATGAGAATAAAGGATCCGAAGAACTCATACACACATCATTGGTAACTGTGTGTATTATTTTTTGAAGAGCTTCAGGCAGTGGCACTGCAAGGACCCAGGGACGCCCAGCCCTGTTCTGCTAAGCATCCTTCCTTCTGTGGGTTCCGGGGCAGCTAAACAGGGAAGCAGACTAGGGGCTGCAGACCCTGTGCACAGCTCTCTGTGTTGCTTCCAGTGGTGGCAGGGATGGAACCTGCCTCCTATTTGTCTCCCCACTGTGGCCAAGCCTCAAACGTGGGCCTGACTCAGATCAGCCTTGCTGCAGAGAATATAACAAGCTTAAGTAGTCTGCCCCGAGGGGTCGGGCTTAGAAGGCTGAGGACAAGAAAGCCACTGGAAGGGGGAGCATGGCTTCCCACCCCAACAAGTGACCTGGGCCTCCGCCAGCCAGTGCGGGTAGCTCCTGGGGGGCGAGGGCAGGGCGGGTAGGCACCACTGGCCTGATGGGGCAGGAGAAGCAGACGTCTCCTGCCCCTGCTTCTGGGCTGCTGCAGATCCTTCAGAAGGGTGGGAGTCAGGCTGGAAGGAGTAGTTCCTGTCTTTGGCTTGGCAGCTTACTGCCTCTGAGCCACGCGGAGCCTGCCTTGGCCCATGTTCTTCAGGCTGGTAGGTGGGCATGGTCCATGCCTTCAGGGGTGCCCCTGAAGACATGAGCTTCCCCTGGGCCCCCTTCCTCATCACTCGCTCACACCTCCTCACAGGCTCAGCATCCCTGCTGACTTGGTAAACCTGCGGCTTGGGCTAAGCTGTCCCTGTGGATGGGAGGAGGCTGGTGACCTTGGGCTACTTAAGGCTGCAAGTTAAAACATGTAGTCACTCATCCCTGCTAGTCTTCCCTCTGCTCTTCCTCAGTCTGTAAATCCTCTGGAATAAAAGGTTTTACCAGCAACTGACTGCATAAGCCCAGTCACCTCATTCCTTGCCTGGAACCGAGATCAGCTATCAAGGATGAATGACCTGAGGAGGCATGAAAATTACACCTATACTGAAAATAAGTTGGAAAGATGTAGACATTTTGTTAAATAAAAAAACATTGATTTAGAACATTGATTTCTTAATGTAGTGTGTGTGATCATGTGTGTACATAGAAAGGATATATATTAGACTTAACATTAGTAATTTTGGAGCAATAAAATTGTCAGTGATTTAAACTTGCTTATGTATACCTTTTTGGATTGTCTGAATTACGTTTCTCATGAACACACTACTTTTATAACAACAATACAATTATGTTTATTCTGAGAAGAAAAGTTGGATTGGCCCTTTAGTAGTAAAGTAGATTAATGAATTGTGGTATATTCACACAGTTGCATTCTATGCAGTTATAAAATGAAGCGGATTTGTTACTGGTTGAATGTGTTCTGCTTCTTGTCCTTGTGGCAACAAAGAATTGAAAGGCAGAGACACAGTAGCAAAGCAGAGTGAAAGTTTTATTTGAATACACTCCAACAGGAGGAGTGGGCGAGAGTCAGGGTGGACAAAAGCCCCACACTTTTAGGGGAGGGTCTGTTTCTCATGACCTAGCTGGGAGGTACTTCTTTGATTGAGAGGATGAGGTCATTTGATCGACAGCTTTAGTCAAATACCCATTCCTCTTGGTGCACATCTTTTTCCAAAGTGTGCATAGAAAAGCCCATGGGGATGGGGAGCAGAAACCACAATTTTATTTTAATGAGATTATGATGCAGTGTGGTTTGAGTGGTTCTTAGTTTTCTTCCATTGCACCTGCCCTGGGACTTGGTTAGGACTGGTTTGGCCTGGTCCCAGTAGGCAAGAAGTTATCTCCCTGCAAAGCCTTTGCTGTCTTCATGTGGGACCCCTACTTGGGCAGAATTTGGTCAGTTTTTTTCTTTGAAATTTATCTTCCCCTTACCTGGCTGCTCATGTCTATTTTTTTACCTAACATTCCTAGCAGATTATACAATATGGCTGAATATCAGAAACCTAATGTCAAGTAAAAGAAACCAGACATAAAAAGAATAAATGAGTGTGATTTTATTGATCTAAAATGAAAAACACGCAAAACATCTCTATATTGTTTAAGTTTGCACTCATAGATGGTAAAACTAAAGAAATCGGTAAACTAAACTGAGGAGTGATCATCTTGCAGTTGGGACAGTGGACCCCTCTGATGGGGAGTAGGGGTTGTTTTCAAATGGGGTCAGAGAGTTGGGGAAACTGGTTCTGTTCTGCTTCTTGACCTCATTCCATAAATGACTCAGATATTTTTATTGAGCTATAAGTCATATACTATAAAATTGCCCCTTTAAAAATGTACAATTCAATAGAACAGAAAACTCATGTTCACATGAAGATGTACATGTCCACATGAAGACTTGTATGTGTTCACATGAAAACTTGTATGAATGTTCACAGCAATATTATTTATAATAGTCAAAAAGTGAAAACAGCTGAAATGTCTATCACCCAATGAATGGATACACAAAATCCACACAATGGAATATTATTTGGCCATAAAAAGGAATGAAATACTGATTCATGTAACAACATGGATAAACCTTGAAAACATGCTAAGTGGTATCTTAATGTGGTTTTGATTTGCATTTTTCTAACAACTAATGTTGAGAATCTTTTAATGTGCTTATTGGCCATTGTATTTCTTCTTTGGAGAAATGTCTCTTCAACTCCTTTGCCAATTTTTAAATTGGGTTTATTGTTGAGTTTTAAGTGTTTATATATTCTAGATACTAGACCCTCAACAGATATATAATTGACAAATATTCTCATTATGTGAGTTGTCTTTTTACTTTCTTGATAGAGTCGTTTGAAACACAAAACTTTTAAATTGATGAGGTCCAATTTATCCAATTTTCCTTTGGTTGCTTGTACTTCAGATATATCTAAAAAACCATTGTCTAATCCAAAGTCACTAAAATTTACACCTCTGTTTTCTTCTAGGTGTTTCTAAAGCTTTACCGCTTAGGTGTTGGTCTTTGATCCAGTTTGAGCCATGTATATGGTTTGGGGTAGGGGCCCAGATTATTATGTGCCTATCTAGTTATTTCAGCACCATTTGTTGAAGAGACTGTTCTTTTCCCAAGAATAAATGGTCTTGGCATCCTGGTTGAAAATCAGTTGACCACAGATACATGGGCTTAGTTATGGACTCTGTATTTCATTTCATTGATCTGTATTTCCATTCTTATGCTAATACCACACTCTTGATTACTGTAGCTTTATAGTAAGCTTTGAAATCAGGAAGTGCACTCTTTTATTCCAGATTAAGATTCTGGGTACTTTGCATATCCATATGAATTTTAGGATTGGTTTGTTATATCTGCAAAAAAGGCCACTGGAATTTTGATACGGGATTTCTCTGGATCTGTAGATCAATTTGAGGAGTATCACCATTTTACCAGTATTAAGTCTTCTAATCCATGGACATGGAATATCTTTCCATTAAATTTTTAAAAATTTCAGCAATGCTTTATTGTTTTCAGGGTAGAAATTCTGTACTTTATTTGTTAAATTCTGAGTATTTTATTTTTTCTGATGCTATTGGAGATGAAATTATTTATTGGTTACATTTTTGGGTTCATTGCTAGTGTATAGAAAATAATTTTTGTGTATTGACCTTGTATCCTACAACCTTGCTGAACTTGTTTATTAGCTCTAATAGTTTGTGCATGTGTGCCTGTGCATGAATGTGTGTGTGTGTGAATTCCTTAGGATCTATATGTACAAGAATATGTCATCTGTAAATGTACTTAGTTTTACTTATGTCTTTTCAATCTGAATGACTTTTATTTCATTTTCTTGCCTAACTATGCTGGCTAGAACCTCAAGGACAATGTTTAATAGAAGTGACAAAAGCAGGCATCCTTGTCTTGTCCTAACCTTAGAGAGAATCCTTTCAATCTTTCACCATTAAATATGTTAATTGTGGGTTTCTCATAGATGCCCTTTATCAGATTGAGATAATTCTTGAATTCCTAGTTTTTTGTTTTGTTTTGTTTTTAATGTTTCTATCATGAGAGTGTTAGATATTGTCAATGCTTTTTCTGAGTCTATTAAGCTAATCATATTTTTCGCCATCCCATTATTCTGTTAGTATGGTGTAATACATTGATTTATTTTCATGTATTGAACCTACCTTGAATTCCTGGGATAAATCCCACTTGGTCATGTTGTATAAGCCTTTTTTTTCATATGCCACTGTATTTAGTTTGGTTGTACTTTATTGAGGATTTTGTGTCTATATTAATAAGGTATATTGGTCTATAGTTTCCTTGGGTTGTCTTTGTCTGATTTTGGTATCAAAGTAATACTGGCCTTTTAGAATAAGCTGGGAGGTGTTCCCTCCTTGCCTATTTTTTCTTTGGAGAGTTGTGAAAGAGTGTTAATTCTTCTTTTAATACTTAGCTTAAACCAGTGAAGCCATATGGTCTTGGAATTTTCTTTTTGGGGTATTTATTTTACTACCAATTCAATCTCTTAATTGTTATAGGTCTATTAAGATGTTTTAAATTTCTTCTTGAGTTAGTTTTGTTAGGTTCTGTATTTTAGAAATTCATCCCTTTCATCTAGGTTTTCTAATGTGTTATACAATTATTCATAGTATTCCTTCAATTGTTTTTATATTTGTAAATTTGAAAGATAATATTCCCTCTTAAATATTTAAGTTTTTTTCTGTTTCTTGGTCAGTCTAGCTAAGGATTTGTCAATTTTGTCAATCTTTCCAAAGACCCAACTTTTGTTTTTGTTGATTTTGTCTATTGTTTTTTTATTCACTATTCCATTTATTATTACCATTATAATCTTTATTACTTCCTATACTTTTCTTTTCAGGGGGTGGTTGTTTAGTTCTTTCTCATTTTTCTTATGGTGAAATGTTAATTTATTAATTTGAGCTCTTCTTTTTTAATATTGGCATTTACAGATATCAATTTCCCTCCAGGCACTATATTCACAGCATCTTACACATTTTGATAGGTTGTATTTTCATTTTCATTCATCTCAAATAATAATTTCCACCTATTTTTGAATTTCCCATTTTCTTCTGTATTTTGTTTGTAATTCCATTCCATCTTTAAACTTTTTTTGTGGGGTTGCTGGTCCATCCTAGAGAATGTTCCATGTGACTTGGTAAGAATGTGTGTTCTGTTGTTGGATAGAGTGTTCTATACACATCTGTTCGATCTAATGTTTAAGGAGTTCAAGTCTTTTATTTTCTTGTTGATATTCTAATTGTTTTATGAATTATTGAAAGTAGAGTATTGGCATCTACACCTATTACTGTTGAATTGACATTTTCACTTTTCAATTCTGTTAGGTTTTGCTTTCTGTATTTTGTAGCTGTATTGTTAGGTTTGTATAATGTTTTCTTGGTATATTGGCCCTTTTATCATTATAAAATGTCCTTTGTCTGTAGTTCCAATTTTGCCTGATATTAGTAAGGCAGTTTCAGTTCTATTTTGGTTACTGTTTGCATAGTATATCTTTTAAAATCCCTTTACTTTCAATCTATCCATTTATATTTAATGGAATTATTAATGAGATAGGATTTATATCTGTCATTTTTCCTTTTTTTTTGTCTTGTTTTCTGTTCTTCTATCTTCCATTACTGCCTTGTTTTGTATTAGATGGATATTTTTTAGTGTGTTATTTTTATTTCCTTGTCATATAATCATGTCATATATATATATATACACACACACACACTACCTATATTATGTATACATAAATCATGTCATACACACACATATGTATACATAAATCATGTCATACACACACATATGCACATACTCTTATTAGTGGCTGCCCTGAGGATTATAATTAACACTGTAATTTAAAACATTCTAATTCAAATCAATAGCAACTTAATATTGCTAATACATACAACTTGGTCCTATATAACTCTGTACATTCCCCCTTTCTGTTTCCATTGTCATGCAAATTGCATATTTATACACTGTATACACATAAGCACTATTTTATAGTTATTGTGTTATACAGTTACCTTTAAGTTAGAGAAGAAAAAGTTACTAACCAAAAAAAATATATTTATACTTCTAAAAAACTATTTATCTATGTAGTTATCTTTACTAATGCTCTCCATTCATGTGGATTCCAGCTACTCTCTAGGTCCTTTCATTTCAGCTGGAAGGACTCCCTTTGGTGTTTCCTATAGGGCAGATATGCTTGTGAAAAATTATCTCGGTTTTTGTTTATTTGGGATTCTCTTAATTTCTCCCTCATTTTGAAGGATACTGTTGGTGTGTATAGAACTTGTAGTGGACAGTTTGGTTCTTTTGGCACTTTGAATATGTCATCCACAGCTTTCTGACATTCATGATTTCTGATAGGAAATGAGCTGTTAATCTTACTGAACTATCCTTTGTACCTAGTGAATTGCTTCTTGCTGTCAAGATTCTCCCTTTGTCTTTGACTTTTGACAGTTTGATAATGGTGTGTCTTGATGTGGATTTCTTCAGATTTATCTTCGTGGAATTTGTTGAGCTTCTTGAATATGGAACTATTTCTAATCAGACTTGGACAGCTTTTGTCCATTATGTCTTCAGATATTATTTTGGATTCCTTTACTCTCTCCTCCCTTTCTGAGACTCCCATTACACACACACACACACTTGATGGTGTCCACACACATGTTTGATGGTGTCCCACAGGTCTGAGTGTTTGTTCATTTTTTCTGTTCTTCAGACTAGGCAATCTCTGTTGACTTATCTTTCAGTTCAGTGATTCTTCATTCTCGTTGCTAAGATAAACTATTGAGCTCATCTAGGGAATATCACATTTTACAACTCCAGAATTTCTGTTTGTTATTTTTTAAATAATTTTTATCTCTTTATTGATATTCTCCTCTATTGCTTAGATTTCATCTTCATACTTTCCTTTAGTTCTTTAGATATGGTTCCTTACGTTTTTCTGAACACATTTAAAATAGCTGATTTAAAGTTTTTGTCTACTTAGTCCAATGTCTGGGCTACCTCAGGGATGATTTTTAATTGCTTGTTTCCCTGTGTAAGGACCATACTTGCATGTTTCTTTACATGTTTCTTTTTTTTTGTCAAAAACTCAACATTTAAAATTATATAATATGACAACTCTGGAAATCAGATTCTCCCCTTCTCAGGGCTTCTTGTTATTGCTGCTTGTTGTAATTGTTTGTTTAGTGACTTTTCTGAGTGAACTCTTCAGTCTGTACTCTTTATTGTATGTGACCACTGGTCCCCTTTGCTTAGTGGTAGAATAATTTCCTTGAATGCCGTGCCTGGAACGGATAAGTCTCCCAGTGAAGGGGCTCTGTGTGCGTGCTGGGACACCCCTTCAACATTCGGTCGCGTGGTTGACAGCTCTGCCTTAGTCTTCATTTTCTGCTCGTGCAGAGCCTCCAGATCAGCTGGAGGTGAGGGCTCAGGGTCTCCTCAGGTATTGCCTGGCCATATGCCCAGCTGCATATGAGTGGCCATCTAGGTTCCCAGGAATGTGTAGGAACTTCTTAAAACCCATATAAGCATGTCATTCCCCAGCTTTTCCTTTTAGGCTTTTTGGTCAGCATATTGTTTGCCCCAACTATTATCACTGCCTCAGGCAGCCATAAGGTTCCTATAATAGTTTTCAACAAATGTCCGTCAGGGAGAAGACTTCTTTCACTGAGCAAACTATAAGTCAGATGAAATATACTCTACAAGTGGCATGTTCCAGTGAACTACCTGATGAGTCAAGTAATAACATTTCTTTGGAAATGAAGCTCTGAAAGAGCTCCAGCCCATTCTGTCTTTTCCAGGCTGTTGGTTTTTAGGGCTACTGCACAGCTGAATAGCAGGGGATGGGACTAAGGCAAGTTAAAACTTTACAAACACCCTGGACATTACAATGTTGCTGTTCTTGCTGAGATTTGGCATTTTTTCTTGAATAAATATTTCCTTCATGGCTTTAAGCCTGTGATTGATTTTCAAAGTTCTAAAAACCTGATTCTGACAGTTTTGGCCAGTTTTCTTATTATGTTTAGAGGAGAGAGATTTTTCACAGGTCCCTGTACCACCAGTTTTGCTGACCCTAATTCGTATATATTTAATACCATCTTCTGTATGTATATTTTTTTCCTCAAACATGCCTGCTAAATAAAAAACTGTTGTGAATTGGGGTTGCCGGAGGCCACATGGGGCAGGCACTGAGTAAGGGACTATGTGTTTGCTGGAATGACGGCAGCCTCTGCTGGAGCAAAGCTCTGCCTGAGGGCTTATGGGGTATTGGCGCCATAGTGGTCAGGGACTCTGTCCTACAACTCCTGTTGCTTGTGTCTTCCAGGTTAAGTCTGCCCAGGGCTCAGCTGTGCTCGCATGGACCTGACAGAGACCCGACAGCGGAGGCTGGAGGACCTAGGGCAGCCACATGCCCTCAGCACAGGAGTACTTCCTGCACCCTCAGAAGATGGACGTCTGAGTGTATCCGAGAGCCGCAGGGTGGCCCCTAAAGCACTAGGGACGGAGCTTAGCAGGGAGACTGCCTTGTCCATCAGCCTTCAGGTGACAGTGCCCTTCCTCCTTGCAGGCCTGGGACTGTCTGGGGCTGGCATACTTCTGAACAGTTTCCAGGTAAGAGGGAACTGAATGGGAATGGTGGTGTGGGGGCACTGTTGAGAGAGAGCCTGAAGTGTAGGCGGCCACATGGTGGGTATAGCATGGCCTCCTCTTCTCAAATATCATTTTTCTACACATTGGGAAAAATTCTTATGGTTCCTCATGACAGAGACTAAATCAACCTGGGTTAAGCTTAAAAAGATTTATAGCTCATATAATTGAAATATCTCAGGGGTTGGATTTTAGGCATGGCATGATCCAGGTGTTTAAATGACATCAGGATATTGGTTTGCTCTTTATCTCTCTGCTCTGTTTCATTCTCAGGCAGAGTTCTGTGCCTTGATGGCAGTGAATTCTTAGTACATGCATTCTTAGGGGGAAAAAAAGACCTCTTTGTCAATATCCACATCAGTCTCCAAAAATTGTCCCTGACGTCAAGTGCCCACTCCTGTCCAGTCGCTGTTCCCTGAAGGAGACATTCTCTGCTTGGCCAGCCTGACTCATGCTGTCATCACTCTTGAGGGGAGGCAGGACCCCTTGGCCCACAGTCCTACCAGAATCACATAGAGTGAGGAACTGGTAGTTACCCAGCAGACAAAAACGTTCCCTACGTACCATGCCTTTCATGTTCTTCCACCATCATAGCCCGTCCCTTTTATCAGCATGACCTTCAGGAGCCCTCCCTGGAAAGGCATAGTACCCGAGAATCCTGTAAGTCGCTACTGATGAGATCTTTGCTATCAGTTGGCAGCCAGCTGAGAACAAAGACGGTCTGGAGAGGGCCCAGCTGGGAGGAGCAGGGCCAAGACCTCCGGCCGCTCCTGGCCCCTGCCTCACTCACTGCCACAGGGCTGTGTGCCACAGGGGTCCCTGTGCCCAGGGAGCTTAGGTCTTGTTCGTCACTGATTTGGAACCAGTTGAGGTTTGAGTACCAGTTCTGCCATTTACCTGTAAGGCTGGTGGTTTAACATTTTTTTAATCAACACGTAAAAATCAGGAGATTTTATGTAAAAATCTGAATTCGTATTTTTTCTTGAAAACCTGGCAACTCTTATAAAAATGGACCCACATTCTCTCATGGCCCCAGTTAGTGGCTGTTGCCCCTGTAGGCGGCCGTGTCTTCAGTTTGCCACAGTCCTCACCACTCCATCTTGTTACGCCACCCCACTTCACTCCATTGCCTGTCTGGCCTTGTCCCAGCCTGGAGATCTCAGTGATTCTTCCAGCACCCAGTTGTCCAGTTCCTCAGAACGTCACAGCATCAGTGACTGCCAGCTCCCACTCAGCAAGCCCCAGGATGGCTGTCTCTCAAACTGGGGTCCCTGTCCCAGTGTGACTCAGCCCCACTCCCCATGCTCCAGGACCTCCACACCCCTCAGCCCTCGCTGCCCTCCCAATGACCTGGGGCCCTTTGGCTGCACATCCTTCTCTATCATTTGGTCAGTCAGCCCTGCCATGACCTCCAGGACCTGAGCTCTTGGCCTCCACATCCCATAGATCTCCCCTCCCAGCCCTACTGCCCCCTGCCACACCTGCCTGCCCACCCCATCCTCATCTACTCCCTGCAGTCCATTCTCTATACTGGCTATGTTCAAAAAGTCTAATTCACTGAATGTTCCCATCAGTATAATACCATTGACTGTGCAGCTCCCCACACACACACACATGTACATGTCACACATGTATATATTTATAAACACACTAGTTTATACTTTTATACATGCATTCATCTATAAACCCCTACACATACATACATTGGTTTAAAGATTATATGCACACACACATGCACAGGTTTATGAAAGACATATGGAGGCCAGCATGATAGTGTCCTGTGTTGCCTGAGAACCCAGACTGGAGCTCTGAGTCTGACCTTTGTTACTTACACATGCTGTTCTTTGTTGCCTGTTTTCTTCTGCATAAGCCAGCACTGGCCCTAATATGTTCTTTAGGGCATTGCTAAGTGCCTGTAACCATGCCTGGCATTAGAAAGCCCCCAGGGAGGGGGAGTTGCTGCTGTTCTTGTCATCGATATTTTGTCACATGCAGTGCTGTGCTGATGTTTAGAAACTTATACAAAAATTGCAATTCAGAAAGAGAAAAATTACACAGCAGTAGCCATTCTAGTGTTTCTTTCATATGGCCGTTGGATGATTGTGTGCACCCCGTGCAGGCTCAGGGCCCGAGTGCTCTGTCAGGGGGCCTGCACCATGCACATTACTCCACACTTTCAAGTCTGCTGATTTCTCTACTGCTATGGAAAAGATCCGAAGCCCTCAAGACTAGCATCTGTGCAACCTGGGCTTACCTCAGTCATCTCGGTTAGGATGGTTTCAGCCCTAAGTACCAGAAAACATGCCCGCAGTGGACTAAATATGAAGGAAATGTATCATCTTCTAAATTGGTGTTTCTAGATGAGGACGATTCTGGGTTGGAACATGTTACCGCCACCAGTCAGCAGTGGCTCCAAGGACCCAGGTTCTCTCCGAGTTCCCGCTGAGTCAGCCTCCATGGGTTAGCACTGACCTCTGGCCACATCCTGTCGGCCGTGGTCGTCTTCCCAGTGCACTCACTTGGTTGTAGGCAGATCAGGTCCTGGTGGGTGTTGGACTGCGGGCCTCAGCTCCTCTCTGGCTGTTGCCCAGAGGGCCACCCTCCTCCTTTTCCCTGTGGACATCTCCAGCCTGGCAGGGCCACCAAAACGTGTGGTCGAGAGGGAAGGAGAGTCTGCTGGCAAAGCAGATGACTGTGCTTTGTAACCTAATCATAGAAGTGGTATCTGCTTCTCTGGGCTGGAAGAAAGTCAGTGAGTTCAACTCCCGCTGAGGGAAGGGATCACAGCGCGTGTGCATACAGAGGTGGTCCCCGGGTCCTCCTCGAGGGCTGCCTGCGTATCATTTGTAATGTGATCTTCATTTCCTATCACGAGGGAGATTGAACTTCTTTGGATATTTCTGTTTATATTCACTGCCCATATTTCTATGGAGTGTTTATCTTTTTTCTTCTTGATAACCCATAGACTAAGAAGTAAAGCAAAGTTTCTGTCAGGTTAAATGAAGTCTGTTTCAGGATTTGTCGGGATGGCAGTCTGGGAGACACAGATTCAAGAGGCACTTGAGCCATGTTCTGCCAGATTACAGCATGGAGGTGGAGGAAGCCTATAAAGGCAAAACACACAAAGTTAAGAAAAACGACATATGTTGTTTGTCAAAAATTATGATGGTGCAGCCTAGGGGTAAGGGTGCTTGTCCAATGAGGACTGGTAGGGGGAAATCTTAGAGTTACAAAGTTATAGTTTGCAGGTTGTATTTTGAAAAACTACAAGGTTGCAGTCAGCAGAAATCAGTCAACGTTGGTCCTCCAAACATGGTGGTCTAGCACGGTTTAAAGTTCAGGTTCGCAGTGGAGTGAGGACGTGTTTGGTCCTGTCTCCACAATGTCCCCCAGCTCCATTTCGCTTGTCTAACGTAAGTAACATCATCCTAATTCCTAAAAAAAAGCCAGAAATATGTTCACATACTCAAGGCCTCTTTTTTTCTTAGGGAAATTGGCCCTTTAATTGCAATATGAGCTGTAAATATATTTCCCATTTTTCTATTCATCTTTGGACTCTGCCTTTGATGGGTTTTGTTGTGCATATTTTTTATGTAGGCCCATTAATCCAATGAAGGCTCTGGGCCTGTGTCCATCTCAGCAGCAGAAGCTGCCTTTTCTCCAGTTCTCCCGCCCGTCGTGCCCACACAGGGCAGCATATAATTCAGAGTTGGGACCATGCTTCCCTGCAGAAGAAAGAAGCCCACTCTTGGTCATGAGTCTGCCCTCCTTGCCTTTGGGTAGCAGAAGTTCAAGCTGGCGGTCCACAGACATCTTGCTGGTCTGCAGTGGTCAGGAGCCTGGGAGGAAGGGTGGTCTGGAGTGGCCTAGAGACGGGGAGGGCCGCAGGCTGGGTGGAGGCCAGAGGCAAGGCGAGGGGTTGGGGCTGGATCAGGTGATGTAGGGACGAGGCCAGCCTGCTGTGATGGCCCTATCCTTGCCCTGTTGGTTATGGGGATGTAGGGCTGTCTGCCCCTACAGTTATGGGGATGGCCGAACCATGGCCTCCGGCTCTAGGCAGGTCATTAGTCACGCATGCCCGCTGTGGGGCCCTGGGAGGAGCCCTGGGGGCAGAGGGAACCCACAGGGGCAGGGGGAGGCACTGTGTGGTATCAAGAGGGTGGGGTGCCCCTGGTTTGTACAGGAGGGTGTGCCTGGCTCCCTGGCTGGCAGGGACCTGGGCAGGGCCTGCTTCTCAAGGATAAGAAGGCACAGTCCCCATGGTAAGAAGGGCTGTGGCTAGGGGACCTTATCTGTGGGCGCAGAGCTTGTGGCTGGGCTGCTCGGGGCCTCCCGCTCTCCCCATGTCCCAGCAGCATGGGACATGACTAGTTTTAGGACCATATTGAGCCCTTGATGCGTTGACACCAACTTTCACCTCGTGGTGGTAGGGAGGCAGATAGCCTCCCTATCAAGCAAAGCAGCTCCTGACCAGGATGGGGAGGGCCCCATGGACAGCCTGTGTGGACCCCCTTTGTGGCCAATAAAGGCACTGTGGGGTACAGGGAGTAGTGTCCCCAGGGAGCATGAATCCAGAGTAATCAGTTCCCACAGAAGGAGTCCATTTGCTACCTGGTAACTTAAATAGTTGTTTGAGGAGACCATTATGACTCTCAATTCCCGGCTGCCTGCAGTCTCTGGGGGTGGAGGTTTACTGAGTACCTTTCCCTAAAGCCAGCCTGTGTACCTTGAGGCCTGGGCCACAGCCAGTGACGGGGACTCCAGAGAGGACAAGGGGTGTCCCAGTGAGGCCTCAGTACACAGAGACATCTGTGACTTTGGTCTATATTTTGGGTATCTTTTGGGCAAGAGTTCCCAGAATTCCTTACCCAACAGGGTCAACCTGTAGGCAGTGGCCCGGGGGTTTGTAGAAGGTGCAAATGGACCATTTGCCAGCCAGGGCGCGGGTGCAAATGTGGCTGCCC